GGCAGCACAACAGCAACCTTCATAAAGTCAATCTGGCAGGACAATACCTGCTGTGTCGGTCCATCTTCCCCCTTCTGACTCCCATGCCAGGATCAGGCAGGCTGTCAAGCAGGTATCTCCCCACTTCTGAACATGGCTTGCCCCCAAACTGGTGGAGACAGAGCCCCATTGTAGTGACATCCCTGTGCACTTTCAGCAGGGAGAGCTTGAAAGAGCTTGGAGCAGCTGGAGGAGCTGTAGGTAAGGAGACAAAGAGCTCCTCAAGAACCTCAAGGCATGGACAGGGCAGACTGTAGTTCCAACACGATATTAACTGCAGCAGGGGCCAGGTGTCCCTGGGAAGGAGCAGTGAGCAGGAGTTGGGTACGAACTTTCTCATTTCTCCTTTGTTTCTCTGGTTACTTTGTATTTTCCCTAATAAAAATGTTAACAAGTCCAGAACTATGGGGCTGCTGTTCCAAATCTGTATTGCTTTTGTTTAAACAAATGGCTTTCTTGACTGAAAAAAAAGAAAGTAAAGGGGTTTTGGTGAGGTAGTCTCATCTGGACAATACTTTCTGAACTGTTCCAAATCAGTAGCCAAAGGGGCTTGGGCTGTCCTTGAGCCATGGGAGGTCGCAGCTGTAGAAAGGGAAGAACTTTTGTTGAGATGGTGTTGATGAGCAGTCCCTCTTCCCATGGGGTACCTGAGCTATCTGTTCAAAGTACAACTTCAAAACTGAGGGACACCGCTGGAGGGCTGCTGTTTCACTGCCTCCTCGTCCTGAGCACGTTCTGAAAGAGAAGCTCTTTGCACAGATCAGGGTGTCAAGAAAAGTGCCTTTAAGCAGAAATATGTCCCTTAAGCTTTTATTTCTGTGTGTGTTTTAAGATCTGTTCAACACAGACAGTATGAAGGACACAAATCTGGGAGCTTATTTTAGGTAAACTGATGCATTCAGAAGATATTTGATGGTGCTGTGGTTGTAGGTGACACAACTATCTCTTTGTCTGAGCCCAAGATAGGTTTTGTTTGGAGAAACCATCAGGGTTGCAATCCTTTGTGAATCTTCAGTTACCTTAAGAGTAACTGAAGTGGATGGTAGCTCTGGCCATGGTCTGAGCTTGGTGGTCCAGGAGAGATACCTTCCATGGGCCAACAGAAATTAATTACAATACCTCAAATCGAGGGCGCTTGTAACAAAAGAGACTTGTAGCATATGGGGAGGTGAAATGCTTTTACTCCCTTCAGGTGCAAAGGTATCATTTGTGGTTTGTGTGGGTTAAATGCCGAGGGGTTTTGTTAAACAGAGGGCACTCATTATCTTTCTTGGGAGGGGAAAGGCCAGCCAGGTGGTCAGGCTCTGTCTTCTGGCTCTGGATCAGAATTACTTTTTCCCCAGCAACTCTTCAGGACAGTCACAGTTCACTACTTAGAGGGGTGCTTGGAAAAGAGGGTGGCCGAAAATCATCCTGTAAGGTTATCCTTGCTACTGCTAAGGAGGGGCTGTGTGCAGCTCTGGCTGGCAGGGGCAGATGGAACTGGCTGTAAGCACAGAATTGAGCTCAAGTTGTGCACCCTGCCTCTTCATACAGCAATGAGCAGCTTGAATCCACCTCACCATTACGTCAGCCTTCCTCTTCACCCCTTGGCTGCATGGGAGGTATTGGACATGGCCTAGAGTGGTTTATTTTGCAGAGTTAAAATCTACAGTGAGCAAAGCTGTGGTGGTGAAGCGGTGTTTCTTTCCCCAGCTGTAGGAAAACTCTGGTAGGACTCTTGTTAAACTTTTTACTGCTTGCATTTTTTCCATGAGAGTGATTGATATGAGCTGGTTGTGTGGAGGAATAGGCAACAAGAGTAGCCAGAAATAGCAAAAGATCAAGTGGGGGGAGCTGGGAAGCCAAAACAAGACTTTTGAAGCTCTACCACTTGTATATGAGATACTTGAAAGCCATACGGGTAAATGCAATTCAGAAAGCAAGGTCAAGCAGCATTTAAATCACCTGCTGGAGAGCAGCCTCCTCTCTGTGCTCCTGTAAATGATCTACTATTAACAGAGGAAACATAAGTCCATGAATATGCATACAAATGCGATGGCTTTGAGAAGAGCTGGCATGAGTTCCTGCTCACATGTGCAGCAGAGGACACTTTGACCACCAACAGGCTCATGGGACACCCTCATCTGGCATCCTTCTCCTGGTCCTCACCAACAATGCTGCCAGTAGAGGGAAAGGTTCTCCAAGAAAATAACAAACAAACCTACTTAAACAGGCATTTGATACTATTCACACCAATAAATCAAATAGGAGGGCATAAAATTAAATAGTGGACAAGCTGAATGGTGGTTCTTGAGCTGGTTTTCTGGGAGGTTCTTCAAGCTGCTGCACGCATCTCTGCTGTAAATGTGGCAGTAACTTTTAAAATAACCCAAGAAACTCAGAGATGAGAAGAAAAGAGAACACAAGAAAAGGTGCCTCAGGGCGCAGCCTGATGAGCTAAGAGCATTTCCACTCTCAAGAAGTAGCTTTCCCCATAAAAAACAAATTAGACCAAGTTGTGCACAAAAGGCTGGGACCATATTGCTTCAAATCAAGAGTTTCCTCCTAGAGCCGGTCTTCTGCTCAGCAACAAGTGGCTGCAGAGGCACTGTCAGGAGTTATTTTCCCTGGCCAAGAGGATGGGCCACAAGAGCGTAATCGAATTTTCTTTCCCTGGCCAAACTAAGGCCTGCAGCACTGAGGAGATATTTTGCTCAGGTTTTGCTGGATTTCTTCAATTCCAGCCACTCCAATGCCATCACCTCCCTGACAGACTGATTTTTTGCAGAAGTTGTAGCAAAGCAGAATAACCAAACCCACCTTAAATCAGCATGGCCAAAGGTAATCACTCCCCAAACCTTGCTGTCAGCACACAAGTCTTCATGGGCTAACTGGCACACATTGGCTCATAAGATGCTTTTGTTTGTTAGAAAACATTTATATGTGAGCAGCTGCGTCAGGAAGGTCACTACCAAAATATCCTTCTGAGCTTTAGCCTTTGTGGGTTGGTGGTTTATTTGTTTTGTTGTTGGTTGGTTGGGTTTTTTTAAACCCTCATCCTGTTCTAAATAGGGGAGTGATTCATTCCTGTCCTTCTGTTTAGTTTTGCTTCAGCCTACCATTTGCTGTTTCATATGGAAAGAAAACTCCTGGTTTGGTCATAACAGAAAGGAAACATGACTGTATAATGGCCCTCTGAAGTTGGAACTGGACCTGCTTGTGTCTTATTTAGCATAAATAGATTCTGTATAAGGCTTGCATATAACACGTGAAAGAACAAAGCCAGTGAAGTCTCCACAACATGAACCACCTTGAAATTGCCTATAGCTGAATTGACTTGCCTTGTAGGTCCCTGATTTTGCTGGAGGAGGCAGCAGTTATCTTACAGCAGGCGCAAATGGATGGGGATGGCAGTAAGGAAAAATAGTGTGGTACAGTGGTGGTTACTGAACACAGTTTGGGGCTGCACGGCTCTGCTTTCAAGGAAAAGGTTTTTTCCCTGCTAGAATTAAATACAAATACTTCTTGATCTAGGAATAGTGAGAATCATCTTCCTATATCAGAGTTACTTAGGGAATGACCAATGCAAAGATCAGTGTGGTGGAAAGGGGGGGGGGCTTCTATAGGTTAACACACAGGATCACCTACCCAGACAAACCTGGCCACTCTAAGAAAGGAGTTTTTCTAACCATGAGACCTAATTTAGTCTGTTTGCAGGGTTTGAACAACTTTGGGGAAACAAAAACACCGGAGTTTTTATGCAACAAATGTTCATACAACATTTGTACTTGCTAATTGCACTGATGGCTTTCCCAGGGAAAAGGCTGTTCTTGCGAGTGGGAAGGAAGTCGCGCCAGGCACACAAAGCTGCCGTTTACGTTTTCCACACAGTTACTCTTCTAAGCCCACGGCTGTTCCGCCCTGATGCAGTTTTGCCACTGAGAGCCACAGGGCAAACGAGAAGCGCTGGGCCGGGAGCAGCTCTGAGCCTCTCAGAGGTCGCACTGCGAGCACAGGGGCTGTGCTGATGGGACCCGGGGCTGTCCTGGCTCTTCAGTGGGTACTGCCCTGGGAGGGAGGAGAAGTTTACCCTCATAACTCAGACCCTGTCCCAAACCTCTCTGATTTCAGGAGTGATTTGCTGTTAATGCATTGAAATGCAACACTGAGGAAATACTGCAGGGTAAAACACAAGTCTGTGATGATACAGATTCTGTGAGGCGAAGGAAGGACATTTAGTTCTTGCCTCTCGCTGCTAAGGGAAACAAATTATTTGTGTGAAGACGAGGCATGCAGAAGGCAGTGATCTGAGTCTGTCGTTCTCCAGAGGACTCTTGAGGAAAAAAAGGGAGTATTGGGAGAGGTAAAGTGTGGTGAGAGGCAGGTAATGGGGAGGAGGGGGCTGTGTTAGATGATGGGGTGGGACAGAAGCCATTGTGGAGGAACAGAGAGACGGAGATCAGTTTTCTCTTGCAAATAACATATGCACACACCCGTTGATCTCCCGTCTCTGTTAGCCCATGTGTAACTCCCATTGCTGGGCAGAAGAAACCAGTCGGTGCCTGCACGGGGAAAAGGGAGCCCGGTGGCAGGAGCGGTCACCGACAGCCCCGCCGGGTCCTCCTCTCCGCCTGTGGATACGGCTGGGAGCCAGGACCCAGCGATGGAGCTGGGGCTGATCCTGTGGTGGGAATCGGCAGCCGCGCAGACACCCCCCCACCTGCCTGCAGGAGGACAAGGGCCGGAGTTCCAGGCGGCACAGAGCGGGCAGTGGCCGGAGCCCCGCTCCCACACCGGATCCAGCAAGACGGGGAGAAGGAAGGAACCGCCTCGGGTTCCCTGGTTTTCCCTGGTTTTCCCCGTTTTCCCGTCCCGGGACCTCGAAGCACAGGGGCGCCCCGCTCCCGGCCCACAGCACGCCCGGGGCCCGGTGTCCGCTCTGCCCCGCTAGTCGGACCCGGCGCTCCGTTCCCGTGACAATGGCGCCGCCTGGCGCTGTGGGAGGGTAAAGCATAGCGGCCGCCGCGGGAGTGCCCACCCCAAAACCCCCGCGCCTCGGCTGCCGTCCCGTTAAACCTGCTACCGGCTCGCCGTGCCCTTGGCGGAGCCGGCTTTTCATACCCTGTCCTGGCTCCAGCGCTACCGGCTGGGCTTAAACCACGACATACCCGCTGCCTCTTGGGGGCACCGGAAACACCTCCGGGTGACAATGGCGCTGAGCCGGGTGCTGGGGATGCAGCACTAAGCTCCCTGTCCCATAAGCATCGAGCTGCTTCCCCTTAGATAGTGAAGACCCAACTCCCTGTCCAGCTGCTCCTGGCCTCCTTCCAGGACAAGGGGATGCTATGGGTGCTGCCCACCTCTCTGTGTGAGTGGCAGGGAGGGGCACTGCTCTGCCCCAGACATCCACATTCCCTCTGCTGTCATCTACATGGCCTGCAGCCCCAAAGATGTTGTCATCTCCTCCTACTGCTTCTATCAGATGTCCAAGATGCTCCTGACCCCGGCACACTGAGAGAGTTCCTGGAGACCTTTATGGCTGGCAAAGGTGGAGGCTGAACCTCTTGACCACTTCCCACAGTAGCCTATGGGTCCTGGTATAAGCACGTGTGGGGATGGTGGGAGAAGTAGCAGAAAAAGCAGCTCCTCTCCCTCTTCTGTGAGGACATGAAGAAGATGAGGATGGGATGGAGAGGAGGGTACCCGATTGCTCCCCCATCTCCAGCCTTTTTTGGCAGCCTTTCCATATCAGCTGACCGACAGGGCCCACAATGTGAGGTGCAGAAGATCCTGTGGTTCCTGGGCAAGGAGGTGGTGCAGAGGATGGTGGTGAGGATCCTCCACTGTATGTCCTTTGGCCATGTGAGGAAGAACCCTGCTGCCAACTATGAGGCCATGTGCACTGCCCTTATGGACCACAGCCTCTCACCCTTCCTCTGGAAAGGTGGGTTTTAACCAGTGGTGGAGGGCTTGAGAGGGGTGTTCCTGAGCTGCACTGCAGTCCTCATCCACAGCTCCACATATTTCAGCGGTGTCAGGATTTGCCCCACTCACTGTCCTGCCTGCAGGGATCTCCAGGAACTGGAAGAATCACTTCGCTGTGGCACAGAATAGCCCAGAATTACTGGGAGCAATGGTAGGCTCCGATGTCATCTTCCAGATGGAGGCATGGGGAACTCATTCCTTTTCCTGGTGGGGCTGCTCTTTTCCCTACCCCAGGAGGGGGGGCAGTTCCAGATGGAGCATCCTTGCACCAATTCTCTTCTCCCACGGCAGTAAATTGGAGTAACTGGAGGGTGAGCCATTGCCAGCGGGGAAATGTGGTGGGGCTGAGTGCCCTGAATCCCTGGATTCAATCCAGCAGCTGAGATTGAATCCCAACAGCAGCTCCGCCCTGATTAGGTGGGCACATGCAGTGGATTTTAGCCAGCAGTGGCTCTTGTGTGCTCAGGAGCTTTCGTGCCTCGGGCCTGTGAGAGGTTTCTTGACAAAGCGGGCGGTGGTGGGGCTTACCCGGGCTCCCTGTGGTTTGCAGAGCAAAGGCGAAGGGAAACTCCTCCCTGCTGCACAGTGTGTGCTCAGCAGGATGGCTGCCCTTGCCAGCTGGGGAACCCAGCTTCCAACCCGGCTGCACTGAGCCCTTGCTCGGGGGTGGCTGGAGAAATACAGTCCCATCCCACTGGGAACACGGCTTTGCTTTGGAGCCCCAAATTCCCCAGTTATGCCCCATTTCCAGCCTGAGTTTCCAAGACTGTAGTTTTTTGGCACGGCAGTCTCATGGGGTTGTTTTCATTACCGAAGAGATTCAGTCTGGATCTGACTCCTAAACAGCAGCAGAGCTATGAAGGGCGCTCTCCCATAGGAATAAACCCTCTCCATGTATTTACTTCAATGCCAATGGAGATCTCTGTGCTTCCCCAGCTCCCAGCTTTGCCTGTGAGGTTTGCACACGCAGGCAGTTTGTGATGGGCAGGGAGGGCACATCCTGGAGGCCTGACTGGAATGTCCCAGCTGTGCCGGTGTGCTCCCCTCCACCTGCTCAAGTGATAACCACCAGTGGAGGTAGTGCTGGATGTGTCTGGTCATGAGGGCTGCATCTGACTCAAAGTGGATTCAAGGGAGACAAATAACACAACAGCCAAGGGCTAATCTGAACAACGCACCCACCTAACCATAGTGCTGGTCAAGGTCTGACTCAGACCAAATCTGGAGGAAACTAACTTCTGTAGTCAATACACAAATATGGCTATAAATCAATTATCTGACTCCATAACTAGTGGACACACCAGGGCCTGTTGAGTTCCCCTGCATGGCAGTGGGCTGTGCACGAGGATCTCCCCTCGAGTAGGGACTTCTCAAGTCTACTCCTTGAGGAGGAGTCCCTTCCTGCAGCAGGCTCTTGTAGTGATTAATAGGATGCTAAACATGAAATCTTAGCCAAGTGACAAACAGGCTAAGTTTTGCATATAGAATCCTTTAGACATAAATGACCAAGTCTGGGACTAGGAGTGGATCCATCTGCAGCCCAAACTCTCCTCTGAGTTGTTCAGAAAGTGAGGGGGTCTTTTCTGAACCTCATGACTCAACAGGAGAGTCCCCCTGACAGTTTTGCCTGACCCTGTCCTCTATGCAGTAAATCCTCAGGCATACCTTGCCACCAAATCTTGTTAAACCGCAGTCACATTTACTACCAAGCTTTGTTAAATCTCCGTTTTACATCAATAACCAGATTGCTGCTTCTCTCTTCAGAGTGAGGTGTGTCACTCGCCTGTAACACTGCCTCACCGGGAGCTTGGCCCTGGGGACAAATCAGGGACCTCTTTCTCAAGGTTGCCACCAGGCGAGCTGCTGCCCTGCCCTGCTGCCGTCTCTCCTGCCTTACCCACTCCCTCCCGGCCCACGTTTGCCCGTGGAAAACAGGTAAATGTCAGCATTTTACCATCACGGCGGCCTTTAAACCGCGCTCCCAGTAGCACGGTATCAGCTGCACCAGCGCTCCGCAACTCTGCAAACTTTGGACCCGTATTTGAAGGGGCGGTGTGTGACCAGAGCCTAACCCTGCTCGAGAGCCCGGCCCCAGTGCGAGGAGCTGGACGCGTCCCCGGGCTGATCCCCGGATCGGAACAGGGTGATGTTTAACCCCCGGGACCTGGGTTGGGATTTGCCTCTGCGGGTGGGGGGAAGCTGTGGTTTCCCCCGCCGCCATCTGTGTGTTTAACCGGGGGAGGAGCGGGCACTGAGCCCGGCGCAGCTCATCGCAGGCTCCTGGCACCATCCCCAGCGGGGCTGCGTTCCCCTCCCGGCTCTCTGCTCGCTGCACTCCCCGCTCCTCAGGCCGGGAACGGCTCTCTCCGCGTCTCTTCCCTAACGATGGCCCCCGCCTCCCGCAGCCCCAGGCGCCTCCCCGCGCCTCCATCTTCCACACGGGAAGGGAGAATAACAAATCCGGCCCCGCCAGGCTGGGAGCGAAGCTTCGCCTCCCCCCCGTCAGAGCGCCCGGAGAAGAGGCAGGTAACGGGGACACCCTGGCCGCGGTCACCGCTTTAGGGTGCCCCAGCCTGGCCTGCGCGGGGAGCGGGATGAGGGGCTCGTATGGGCTCCATGTCCCCTTGGAGACGGAGGCCAGCCACAGAGCTGCTCTGCAGCGAGCACAGAGCGGGGACGTCCGGCGATGGGGAGGATTCCCGGCGAAACCCCTGTCAGTCCTGCTCCCCGTTCCCATCTCCTTCAAACTCCCACGGAGCCCTCCAGGCGGGGCTTCCCCCTGCTGCTGTGTAACAGGGAGCTGGGGAAAGAAAGCTGCGGGCAGGGAGCAGAAAGCAGCGTGAAATTGCGGCCAGCAAAGCGCCTGCGAGCTTTTCCATCACGGTACGGGCAGCTGCCCACTGCCTGTGCTGACCTGAGCCCCCGGCGCTGGCCGTGCCCCTCCATGCTCTCTGCACTGCCCGCTACCCCCGAGACCTCTGCGGGAGGCAGGTGCCACCTCCAGGGATGTTTGCCTTCCCATGGCTGGGATGCCGGGGCTCAGCAGGGACTGTGGGGGTTGTCCCTGTCCCGTGATGCCCTCCGCTGCCGGCCAGCCCCCCGCTGCATCCCTGTCCCCAGCAGGATGGCCGACCCAGACACCCACCTCCGGCAGCCCTGGCGCATGGTGCATGGCATCCCCATGGTCAACGCCTTCACCCACAACTGGGACAAGGTTGACATGTTCCAGAGCCACCCCGAGGACACCGTGGTGGCCAGCTTCCCCAAATCTGGTGAGCATCCCTGCGTACCAGAGAGGAGCTGGGCTGGGAGAGGAAGCACCAGCCTGCAGCCCCCTGAGCTGGGACGTGGGGGGATGCTAGTGAGATGGGGCCCCTCTGGTGCTCAAGATGGGGCACCAGTGGGAATGGTGCCAGCTGGGTTCCTGACCTTTCCTTACCAGGCACCACCTGGGTCAGTGAGATTGTGGACATGATCCTGAAAGGCTGTGACCCTGAAAAGTGCAAGCAGGATGCCATCAGCAACCGGGTGCCCATGCTGGAGTTTGCCGCCCCTGGGAGCATGGTGCCAGGTAGTGGGGTGGCCAGGGGTGGCAGGGGATGCTGGATGTGGGCCAGGATTGGTTGAAGGGGAGGGACCCCACTGGTGGTGGGAGCGGTCCTGGGGCAAACCTCCTTTGTAGGCACGGAGCAGCTGGAGGCCATGGCACCCCCTCGCATCATCAAGACCCACATCCCAGCTCATATCTTGCCCAAATCCTTCTGGGAAAACCACTGCAAGGTAACAGTCTGGAGGGGACACACCTACAGGGTCAAGCAGAGATAAGGGGGGATCTGCCCTGCCAGGACCTTGCAAGTCCCCACGTGTCACCAAGCTCTCTGCAGATACTCTATGTGGCACGCAATGCCAAGGATGTGGCCGTTTCCTTCTACCACTTTGACCTGATGAACAAGTTACACCCGCACCCTGGGACATGGGCCCAGTACCTGGAGGAGTTTATGGCCGGCAGAGGTGGGAAAAGGCACCCACGGGTCCATGCGGGCACCCCGCAGAGCAGTGTCACCCACTGACACCCCCTGGCTGCTCTCTCTACACAGTGGCATATGGCTCCTGGTACAACCACGTCAAGGGCTACTGGGAGAGGAGGAAGGATCACCCCATCCTTTACCTCTTCTACGAGGACTTGAAGGAGGTGAGGGGCTGTGGTTGATGGTGTGAGGAGTCTGGGGGTGGCAGGAGGGGTGAGCACTGACCTGTTTCCCACAGGATCTCCGCCGGGAGGTTGCCAAGGTGGCCCAGTTCCTGGGACAGGAGCTGCCAGAGGCGGCCCTGGACACCATCACCCGACACACCTCCTTCGAGACCATGCGGGACAACCCCACCACCAACTACAGCATGGTGCCCTCCCAGGTCATGGACCACAGCGCCTCCCCTTTCATGCGCAAAGGTGAGTGGCCAGGGGGGGCTCCCAGCACGTTGTTCCCCATGGACTCCACTGAGCCCCATCTCACCTGCCCCCAGGCATCACTGGAGACTGGAAGAATCACTTCACCGTGGCCCAGAACGAGCGCTTTGACCAGGACTACGCACGGAAGATGTCGGACACCGACCTGCGCTTCCGCACCCAGATCTGAGACTCCCTGGTTTATATCCTCCCCATCCAACCCACCATTCCCGGTCCCGGCACTGCCCACAGGCCTCCCTCCTCCTTGTGCCACAGGGAATTTTGCAGAAATAAAGTTTTATCTCTGCATCTTCCTCCCACATTTGCACCCATGTGAGAGCTGCTATGTTGCTACAGAGCACTGTGGATCCTCATCCCACCTTGCATCACCCCAGCCCTGTGTGGCCAGCCCAGGACATGCTTAGAATAAGCCTGTGTGGCTCTTGAGGAATAAAAAAGCCAGTATGTGCTACGGAGCTGTTCCCAGCACATGATGAATGGAAGTTGTTAGCAGCCCCCACATGAACATCTCCCCCATGGCTGGATCCCCCATAGGGTCCTGCACCCACCACCTCCTACCTCAGATTCTCCTGCTGCTGTCACTCTTTGGGGGGGGATGACACAAGAGGGCACAGTGATGGCTGTGCCCCCAACTTACTGCTGGGGCCACGTGGAAGAAATGAGGTGAGTGGGATGGGGACAAAACCAGCTCCAGGGTGCTGCTGGGAGATGGGCAGAGCTGGGGGAGCTGGCACCAAGGGGGATTTGCCAGTTGCTTTTGTGCTGTTCTGCTCCCATGGACCTGGAAGCTGGTACCTTCCTTTGAGATATTTATATGCATCCATGAGATCCCCTCTCAGTCTTCTCCTTAGGCTAAACAGGCCCAGCTCCTGCAGTCTCTTGTCAGAAGAGAGATGATGGCCAGAACCATGGCCAGAAGAACCATAGCTAAGTGGCACACTGCAGCACTGCAGGACATGATGGAGAGAGGGGGCTGGAACAGCGCTGCTAAAAGCTGGTGCTTTAAAATAGCTGGGTTTATGGTGCAGTCATTTAAGAAAAGGTTGCTGGGTCCCAGTTCCTCAGATGCTGTCCCCTCCTGCCCATGCTTGTCATCTGTTTGATACATGTGCAAGACAAACTTGCCTGCAAAGCAGAGGAAATACTCATTGCTCATAGGCACGGAGCATCTCTGAGGATGTGATTTCTGTCTCAGGAGTGGGTGCCATAGGCCAAGAGGTTAAAAAAATATGACTGGGAACCTGGGCGGGCAGGCAAGGTGAGGGGGTGGCAACTCAATGCTTTAACAGGGGCTGTCAGATGTGAAACAGCTCCACTGTACTCCAGGGAGGAGACTGACCATCAGGTGGGACCTGTCTGGGAATACAGGCAGCAGAACTGCGTAAAATATCACCATTCATCAAAGCCCTTGGAGTTTGGCCATTAGGTACCATAAACCCAGCAAAAGTAGAGGGTGAGGGGTGTTGCAGCAGAGGTAGTTGTGGAGAGAAACAAAAAGAGAAGGTACAAGACTGTGATTCCTCCTTAAAAGAGATGTTAGGTTAAGTCACAATAAAGTGCAATAATTGCAAGGGATTTCTGGTTCTCTCTCAGATGTTCGGAGCACCTCCATGTTGTAGGATGTGGTTTGTGCATCACTTGCTTGCAGTGATTTGTTACAGAGCAATGCAGCAGGCTCTGAACCCTCTCACCTTGCTGCCCAAGTACAAACAAACCTGAACCAGAGATGCCAGTAGGGGAGTGGGCAAAAGTAACCCAGGTAACTACAGACAGAAGCAGTGATACCGGAACTGGTGAACGGTGGCTTCAGCTACTTCTGTCATACAGAAGAGATGCCATGCAGGAAAGCAGCTCCTGAGCCTATATCTGGTCAGTCTGTAGTTTTGTCCTCTATAAATGTGCCTTTGAAGCCCTGACTCTTGTGACATCCAGCACATCCCATTCCATGCTGTTCCCCCCTTAGGGATTTGCTTTTCCTTCCCAGCTTGTTTTATTTTGGGAGGGTTTTTCTTGAGGCCCCTTACCCTGAGATACTCATCCACATTGATTCACCCCATCCTTTGGGACTCTATAGTCTTCCCTTATAATGCAGCCCCCCAGCTGTGTATTTTTAGGCTGAAGGCATCTTAGTCTATTCAGGCACTGATTTCCTCTGCTGGTTTATCCCTTAGCCTCTCAATATTGTGACATCTTGCCGCAGGAATTTCCTTTCATTCTTACTCTTGCTGTAGTGACTCTGCACCACCAGTGTGTTTTGGCCCGGCTGCTCTTGAAAGTTACTGTCAGTAACTTGTTCCTCTCTAATTTGTTTAAGGCATGTTCTTCCTTCCCCAAATCTCTCACACACCTGTTTGCGGCTGCTTGGATATCCAGCCAGGCCTTCCAGTTGCCCCTGCTTTGCTCCTTGGATGTTTCCATCTGTGTGGAAACACACAGATTTGGGTTTTGTTTCCCCAAAGTCTCATCTGTAGATGACTCTCTAATGACACCTCTTTCTTCCTCATAGCTCAGACAGCAGCTCCTGTGAAATGTATAAGGGCATCAAACATGCTTCAAGAGGTGCTTACACTCACTGCTCTCCATGAGAAGCAGGGGGTTTTGTATCTGTATCTTTTGTCCCTGGGCTCAAAGTGCAATCCTGACTGCTCTCACTGCTGTAGATAGGGTGCGTGTGAGAGCTGAAGGGTTGCAACACAGCCAGGTAGGGGAGGCTAAAATACTGTGCCCCACGAGTTTTGTGAGGACCTAAACTGCTAAGACCCCAGGGAAGAAACAAGTATTTGGTGATGAGGCCAGAGGAGGGATAGTGGAAGTAATTTTGCTGTTCAAAGCACCATGTGGCACATCAGGGAATGTGTAATTCCACACAAGCTCCCTCTTAAGCACCCTTGTAAAAACAGGACTTTGAATCCCTTGATATGAAGGCAGTGCATGTTGCCAGTGCCAAGGTGTACATGTGGTGGGTGAAAGCCGTGGTGAGGATAGAGGACCCTTCCTCCTCATGGCCACGTGCAGATGCCAGGGAGTGGAGCCATGGGCCACAGAAGGGGGTTCCTGCTGGCTTAGAGGCAGGAGCGTGGGGTCCTTGATGCTGAGAGTAAGAGTGGTCAAGAGTGCTCCCACACTGCATGCGGAGGTCCAGACATCCGAGCTGATGACAGCCGAATCAGGATGTTTCTCTCTCTCACTCCTCCAGCCTTGAAACACCTCAGGCAAAGGACATGGCAGCCCCCACTGGAATCCCACCCATGATCCTGGTGCAAACAGAGGAGGAAACACAAACCTACCCTGGTGAAATGCCCCAGGGATGAAATGGCACCCCTCAAGTTGCGAGGTGAAGCCCAAGTCCAAACCTCCAGACCTGGTTTCCTGGAAGCAGACAGGGTGCCTCTGTTTGCCTCCCAGGCAGGTGTGCAGAATCAGTCCTCCACACTCCAATCAGCAGCAGATGAGGAGCTCCCTTCTGCCTCCCACACCGAGCCTGATGGATCAGCTCCAAACAGGCAATATCAGAGGAAAAGCAGTGTCCCCTGCAACACTGCAACAGCAATGAAGAGAGTTCATGAAACCTTAAACTGAATCACTAAACCCAAGTGAAGTGCGATAAAGCTAGCATGAGGTATTCCTGTCCTACAGCTGCGAGGGAGCAACAGAAAGATGCCATTCAGCTGAGAATCACGGTTACTGTACGGCTATTTCCACTCACTGACCTCTGCTGGAGCTTGCTTTTACCCCTGGGCATCACGTGGCAGTAAACCTTTTACTGAGCACCTGCACATATGCCTCTGCAGAATTGCTCAATCCACTCACTCCTGTCTGTACCCAGGGGTGAGCCAACCTTCATATTTACCCTATCCAGCCTCTCCTCTGATCCTCCCCACACAAAACCTGCCCAAAATATAGTCAAAACTTTGAAGTCTGCTTTGTTGCTATAAGTGAAAGGAAAACCACAGTGTAATGTGGTGCTTCTCAGGGCAAAAGCTTCCCTTTTCCACTCTGGCACTGAGCTTTTGAGGTGCTGGCTGGCATCAAGATCTTCTAAACATAAAGGTGCCCTGCATGCCATAATGGTGAAGAGACCCATATGTGGAACACACTGGTCTGTATTGCCAAACTTTTGCATAACTCACCTTCACCTCAAAAAATCCCTTTTGTTATTTAACAAGGCTGGAGGTTGCATCAAAGCACTTCTGCTTAGTAATGCTAGATGTGTGAAATACAGACACCTAACACCATCTACTTTCTTCAGCCCCAATTTTCTCTCATTTGCTGCTGGATTTTATCCTTTAATCCTCTCAAAATGCTCTTCTCTGCATTAAGAGTAATCTGAGCAGTAATCTTTAAAAGGTGGACACGGAAACAAGACAAATTTAACGGTTTGGTTATGAGGACAGAGGAGGGACTGCACCTCATAATAGTTCTCATTTGCTAGGAAGGAATTAATTATTGAGGGGTTAGAAATGAAACCCAGGTTCCTGTCTGTCTCAGCCCACATGAATATGGCCTTTCAACAGCTGCTGGAAAAGCTTTAAGTTTTTTATAGCACTTTCCCAAATAAGCTAAATTAGCCTGAAAAAGATATAATCCTGAATACAGAGGTCTGTGGAGAGATCATACTGAAACTCCTGGCTGTAAGGCCAAACATGCTGGCATCATTGCCCTGAATTCTGAGGGCTTAGAAGAAGTCAGGTTGAATATTATGGAAAATACTCAAACCCCATGGTGACTGCAATGGAAGTGAACGAAATGCAATGGAAGTGCATTTTAGATTTCTCTATTTCCAAGTCATTAAAAACTTGGATCTCCAGAACCGAGGGCCAACGCACCCAGCACAGGCAGCACACCACCTCTAGAAAAGCTCTACAAACCACAAGATTTTATCTTTGTTCCTGTGCACAGTTTATAAAGAAGTCCATTACTTATTATTACTATTATTACTATTATTATTATTACTACTACTATTATTTTGCCAGCTGGGACCCTAAAGGGAGAGGAAAGTCTTTTCAGCAGTCATATTTCTGAGCTACAGGATGCAAAGTCCTGGGGATCTGGCTCTGCCATAACATAATAATATATATAGCATATAATATAGCATAATATAATACAGCCCAGCATGAGGAAGACCATTTTGACTGTTAAATTACTGGAGCATAGCAAAGCAATAAATAATGCCAGAATACATGCCTTGTTGTCATCACCCCATATTGTATTACTTCCTCCTTTTTGAAAAGAGGGTAACTTATTTAAGCTCCTTCTGCTCATACCCAACCTTGCCAGAGCAGCCCAGGCACAGAGCAGGTGAGCAGCAAGACACAGACACAAACCGGTGTAAGCAAACTGCACCTTTGCAACTCAAAGCTTACGTACCTGGGAAGACTCCACTAGGTAAGAGCTTTTGCTGCATGGGATTCATTCCCCAAATTATGTTGGATCGAGTGCATCATTCTATGCATGGGTTTTAATTGTCATTTTGGCTCCTGGTGGTTCAGAGCTCCTCCCAGGACATAGTGCCTTACATTCAAGCACTGACTTTCCAAGTGAGAGACACCCCAAAAGATATGGATTTTGCTCCGAGAAGAACCCTTATGGGCTAGGAGGGCCTCAGACCTATGTTTAGACAACTGAATTGAGCCCACAGCGTGACCAGATTGGTGGTGAAGTGCCCCAGACAGTAGCAATGAGCTCCCTGTGTTGAGTTCTCTGAGAGCGGTTGGAAACCATCTGTCACATATCAGAACAAACCACATGTTATTATTGGCATTATCATCACCCAAATGAAGGATTTGCTGCCTTCTATCAGCATGGGAAACATCAGCACTTCTAACATCTCACCCTAAAAAAAGATGCCACTTCCAAGTCAGCCCTTTACATGTACCCTGTGGCCCCTCCTGCCTTGGTCTGCCTCTGGCATTGCCGGTTCATGGATGTATAATGCAAGTGATTTGTTTGAGGGCTGGCACCCAGAGGTCTGGCTCATCTTGCCCTGTAAAGATGCTCCAACGTGAGTTAATGGTGAAGCCCAGAGATGCAGCAGCTTTCCGTAGGGGCTGGGGCATGACTGCCAGGAAGTTTCATTATTTACCAGCAGGGACATGGCTCTAGAAGGGTTGAGGAGATTTAAGGATGCCTATGATATAATTTGCCCATCACAGGTGTCCCTCCACCTTGTGCTGGCCAGGGCTCTTGCCCCAGGTCTAGCAGTATCTTCAAGCAAGCAGTCCCTGTAGCACTGCCGCCTGTTAGCTAAGTAAGCCCCTGTGCTGCCTCTGGAAAGAAAGGTGGAGAAAGACTGGAAGCTCAGAATGAGAAAAATGTATCTTTAAGTACAGGTAGGCTTCAGTGATAGAAACACCACAGGATACAAATACCAGGGCTGTTGCAATTGAAAACAGGCATTTTAAAATCAGACATGATGTCCTGGGTTC